GACCTATAAAAAATAATTTATTTTCGTGGTTATTAACCGAATCGAACCGCACTGAACCGACTTTCGTGGTTATGGTACGGTTATGGTATGACCAAAAAATTGGTGGTGCGGTTATGGTTTTGGTCGAACCGACCCCGAACCAAACCGTTGCCATCCCTAGTAACAAATGACGGAAGTTGAAGTAAGCCGGTCGGTTTCATGAGCAACGGCAAATTTTACACTATTCAGATATTTAAAAAAAAGTTAAGTCATTGTTCGTATTTGTTTTGGAATAAAGTAAACCTTTTTGGATAATTTTATTCTTAAAAGTTCAACATTTGTTGTTTAAATAAACGTCTCCTGTTAGCTGTCATAATTTTAAAAAATAGGAGACACTGTCATACTTACGAAAGATTAGGGAGTCCTCATGGAGTTCACCCTACATTAAAATATATATATGTACACCGAAGGTTTAAATTTATATAATTACCTAAAACCCAAAATTGAATTTATTAATAATCCCACATGATTTAGATGTCCTAAAATCTTGTGTTCCTTTCCAATAACAAAAAATCGAGGAATAAAACAAAGATTAGTTAAACAATTAATTAAATTGGATCTTTCCATTGTCAATTCAGATGATGAGTCGGATCTCATTACATCATGAAAAAGTTCGGACCCTACCATGTTCAACTCACATAATGCTGCTCAAATTTGAAAGGAAAGACAAACCACATCTGAATCTATCATAGTCGTTTTACTATTTGATTATAGATAGTCAAAAATAATATTTATATAAATTTATTGAGAATTAATTCTATGCATTAGTAACTCGAAGAAAATGCGGATTTTGGATTGATTGTATTTCATATCCACGTTTGGGAACAATTAAATTGGAATTAACAGGAAAAATCTGAACGTTGGTGGCCAAATATGAATTCTTTATTCCAACAAAAGTCTAACTCATTTTTAGACAATCGCAGGGTCCATAATTCATTGTTTGATCAATTGCCAAGTTTGCTCATGTTTTCATTCATTTCTAGACGCAGCAAGGATGATTGTGACTTTTTGGGTTGTTGAAGTCATCCACTGTAATGAAGTTGACAAGGAAAAAGATTTAATTCAAACATAGTGGGGGCAGTGAATGTTCCCGAAATCAATTTTTCTCCACTACAATTATTCCGTTTTATTTTGTATGCACTTCATAGTAATTTGAGTTAATTAAAGTTACTTTTCATAATTAAAAAGAAAAAGAAAACCTACCTTTGCCCAAACTTTCAGACAAAGCCTCAATGCACACGAGCCTAAAAGCTTAAATATATGTATATAGACAAAAACGAGAGAGGCGTGATTGTTTGTACATTACATCTTCGACCGCTGTGACTCACTAAACCATGTGATTAGTCGGAAAGTAAATGAACATATGCAAAAATAAATACTAGTTTCGTTGTCTTATTTGAACTGCCAGCAGAAAAAGCTAGCGCTGCCCATGCTCGTTGTCGTTGGGCACATGAAGAGATGTTTATTTCATCATATGAGAAAAGACTGTTAATTCCATTGAAAAAGTTGCTAACCACCCCCCCCCCCCNCCCCCCCCCCCCCCCCCCCCCGAGTTTTTGAACATCAATTCCTAATTCCTTCAATAATTATAAGAAAAGACAGTCTGTCAATATAGGCTACCAAAACATAAGTAGATGTTTATTTCAAGTCTAAATGTTCATATGATTACCTAAAGAATAACGTTACTTATCTATAAGTAATATAATAGTTTACATACAAATGAGGTGTCAAGAAGAGAGTGAGGAAGTATTTTTTTACCGGAAGCAATGCCAAAACATAAGTGCAGGAGGAAAAAATGATTGCATCAAAAAGTTGACAATGTTTTAAACTATCCAATAATATAGTGCCTTGCGGCATTCTGTAAATGTAAGCCTTGATGTACATATAACTAGATTTTTTTTATTTGCTTGAAAAAATTGTTATCCAATTATATCTCATCACATAATGTGTATATAAACCTATTATATACATGATACATAATCAAAACCCAAAACTCAGTTTATTAATAATCCCACATGATTTAGATGTCCTAAATCATGTGTTCACTTCCAATAACAAAAAATCGAGGAATAAACAAAGATTAATTAGCTGAAATCAAACGTTAAACAAGTAATTAAATTGGAGTCAATTCAGATGATGAGTTGGATCTCATTACATCATAATAAAGTTCGGGTCCTATACCATGTTCAACTCACATAATGCTGCTTATGTGTCAAAGACAAACCACATATGAATCTATCATGTGATGTGCACCAGATTCCTTTTACTGATTAATTATAGATAGTAAAAAATAATATTTATATTAATTATTTGAGAACAAGACTCAATTCTTTGCTTAGTAACTTGAAGAAAATATGGTCTGATTTTTATTACACTAGAGGAATGAATACGGTACGGTGATCCCAACATATACGAAGCGTTATCTAGGATAATAATCGATTGAGGATGCGGAAGGAGTAGCAATATTGAAACAAGGGCGGATTTAGTGTGGGCCTGACACTCAATTTTAAAACCTCCTTTGTACAGACAACTATTGGTTTATTCGCATTGCAGCAAACCCACCTTTTGCCTCCACGATTAAATTTGCCCCACTATTCCTGTATTGAAAGATGACATCCTCTTTGCCAAAGAAAAGGTTTTCGAGATTGAGGGTGTGGAGTGTGGTTCTCTTCGGTTCGTCCCGAACCTAAATTCAAGTTGTCAATGTGCCCCAAATGCAACTAGAAATTTGTGTTAATGAAAGTGACTCTTCTATCATATTTTTAAAAAAAATAATAAAAACTGCCTTTGACTATGTGTCGATGCACAGGAGTCTAAAAGCCTATTTATATATACACAAAAATGAGAGATGTGAAATATTTGTATATTGCATCTTCGACCGATATAACTCACTAAACCATTTGATTAGTAGGGTGTTGGAAGGACAGCAAAAGGACATTGGACATATACAAAAATAGGATTTTGACGGATGCAATGACAGAAGTGTAGATTGTAGCAGGCGATTGGATGAAAAAACAAAATTTGTTTTAAACAATCTAATGATCTGTCAACCTATCTGGCATTGTAGCACAATCGAAAATACTAGTTTCGTTGTATTATTTGAACTGACAGTACAAAAAGCTGGTCTCCACTCCCTGCCCATACTTGTTTGTCACATGAAGAGAAGTTTATTTCTTCCATTGAAAAAGTTGCTAATTCCCTTTCTTTTTTTTTAAACATCAGTTTCTAATTCCCTTTCTTTTTTTTTTAAACATCAGTTTCTAATTCCTTCAATAATTATAAGGAAAGACAGTGTCAAAATAAGCTACCAAAACTGTCAGGATCTTGAAATTTACATAAATGAGGCAAAATAAAGCAGAACAAAATATGGAATATGGGATTGGATATGGAAAATGCTAATGAAGAGGTTAGTCTGCACTGAAGGTGTCGGCACATCGGAATTGCTGCGGACAATTTTAGATACACTTAATGGAGATTGGGACGAAGCTATGGACTTCTTGAAATTTGGATACCTTCAAGTACCAAGAGACCGACAAACACTACACTCGGCTAGCATGACTAGGCAAATGAAGTATAGTTGTCTTTAATTCTACAGCCGGTCTCTAGATGGGAAAGTTTATTTTGTGCACCTTTAGCTGGAGTATGACCTATGTTTGATCTCCATTATAATAATACATTCCACATATAGTGGTTAAAATTATATAAAATAAGTAGAATAAAATATGCACATAGAATAGAAGAAGATTCTTTATTAAAATCATTAATCATATGTATAAAATATGAAACAGGGATTACAGAATGATTATATATGATCATTCAGTTGAGGAACTGAATCTTGCATTCGGATAATGATCTAGTAAATTATATGACAAAAATCACACGCAAAAAATTGTGATTTTTTATGATTATGCAATGCAACAAGCATTTGGATTTTCATCTGAAAAGAGCTGAGGTGGGGGACTTCTTTCAATGTAATAAAGAGGCTGATAATAATGCATCATTTTCTGCATGGACATTTCATCACTAATGATCTCTTCTCCTTTCTTGGCTTCCTCTTTGTTTTCACCACCTTGTTCCTCCTTGCCTTCTTTCGTTCCCTCTTCTGGTGGTTTCTCTTCTTGTTTTGCTTCTTCAGCTGGTTTTTCTTCTTTTTTGTCTTCAGGCTTTGATTCTTCTGCAGCGGGCTTCTCAGGCTCCGGCTGGGGGACAATTTTGGCCTGCTTTCTTGTGTGTCTATAGACATAATCAACGAGCCTGTCTGCATCCATGGTGCCAGTTACTTTCACTTTCCCGGAGCTTAATTCTGTTTCAACTGTCCTCACACCTATAGTGCACAAAATCCAGATGTTATATAATTGAACAAACTAACTTTATGTTATGGAGATTGTTTGAGATGTGTGAACCAAAGTTATACTTCAGGTGATGGTATTGACTTTATAAGCAAATCGTTAACTCCGAGAGAAGTTTTAATAGGGTTCTCTGCAACAGTTGTATATTCAGAGAAAGAACCATACTTACGGTTCTCTCTGCCACATCAGCTGTGGGGGGCAGGAGATATATTCTATACCAAGTATTACCTTTCATTTTGAGTATCTTTTTCTTAAGCTGCTCAGCACAGGCCTCACAGTGCATGTTCACATTGAGTTCCAATGAAGCCAATCCACTAACCTGGATGTCAGTTTGAAACGTTAAGCAAAAAATATTTGGGATTATGATTTGAAATTGAAAAAAGAAATCGGATTTTCTACCTGTGAGGTAACAACTTCTGGTAGAGGTTCACCCTCAGCTTCCGGTAGTGGCGATAAGACTTTGGCTGTTCTCTTGGTTTTCTTGGTGATTCTGTTGCATACAGCTTGAGGCTCCACGACTCCCTTTATAGTCACTTGGTTTTGAGCCATGTCGATCACAACTCCTTCAACTCCTGCAAAGATCAAAAACATGTTACCAAAAAGGCATTTATGCTCATTTTACACGTAAATTTTCAGTTGACAGAGTAACCTCTTATCCTAAGAAGGGTCCTTTCAATCTTCTTTGCACATCCCACACAGTGCAAATTCACAAATAAGACAAATGGGGATGGTGGTTTAGGTTCTTCTTTCTTCTCCTCTGCCTTTTCTTCTTTCTTCTCTTCTGCCTTTTCTTCTTTCTTCTCCTCAGCTTTCTCTTCTTTCTTTTTCTCTGCTTGCTCTTCTTTCTTCTCCTCCGGCTTAGATTCCTCCTTAATTTGTTCCTGCTCAAAACTCATTTTCATTCATCACATTCGACTGGATATGTAATTTTTTTGAATTAACAGAAGTCGAAAGCAATGAATCACTAACCTGTTTTACTTCTTCACCCATAGTGCAGCTTCAAATCACTTACAAAATCAAAGTTAGTACGATGAAAAAATTCAAAAGAGGGAGGGAGACCTATTGGAGTGAATCAACTGCATTTATATGTAAAAAAATGAGATTGTAAAGAATGGACGGTGTAAATTATCATGCATTAAAGTAGAGTCTGTGATTGCAGAGCACATGCAGGCCAGTAACAATAAAGGAAAACTCAATAAATTCTTTATTTTGTATCATTAAGCTATAGGGGGAAGAAGGGAATTCCAAGGAGCATTCTAAGCATTCTTATATAGCAAAAGTTGAACTAGATTTCAAGAAAGTTAGGTTTATGTCACACTAACCACCTCATAATCACACACCTAATTATCCAAACTTTTTTATTATGTAATAATTTGTAAATACTCTGTACAGTGATTAAACCTCTGCTAATAAACTTGCACATGCCTGCACCTTTTGATATATTTCATGCACTGTTCTAATAAGCTAGTCTAGTTGACGTCCAGGCTCGAAGTTTGAGCAAAACGCCTCACTTCACGTTTAGACCACTTTTTTTTTATCAATTCTTAAATTGTTGAATTTTTTCTTTTATTTCTTTCGTTTTCCCTAGATGTGCTTTATTAATTTTTTTTTATTTTTTTAAAGGCTTTTATTTGACTTTATTTTCAAGTTTTTAAAAGATTTTATCGGTACAAAAGTTAAAAATAACTTTATTCGATAAATAATTAAAAAATATTCAAGTTACGGTGCTATCTACATTTTGTAATTCTCGTTATTTTGTTGAAAACTTTGGAAGCATGTATGAAGTTATTATAAATTTATTTAGTAGGACTTGTTTAGTTCAAAATTGAAACTATGAAAAATAGTCTAATTTTTGTATGGGGTTTTTGCTTAAAAAGCCTAGTCGACAATGTTGTTTGGTAAAATAGCCTCTTTCAATAATGTTTGGTAAAATAACATTTAGCCTATTTTATCATGTTTTAAAAGTCATAAATACCCTTCATTTGAAATGTCTAAATTGTACAATTTCAAACCAAAATTTACCAAAATCCCATAACATGAAGTCCCAGTTTTGTTCTCGCTTTTCATAATACCCCATTTAAAATCGACGACAAAATGGCATGCTGCCGTTTTAAACGACTAAGTGCCGTTTTAACAAATTTTGTATTTATTTCACTTTAT